TGTCCCAACCAGGCATCTGTAGTTTACTTCATTGCAAGTAAACAGGACGTGATGGAGGGGCATCGAGTGGTTAGGAGCAGCTGATGGCGTCGGTTTTGAGTCTCTCTAGAGCCTTGGTTCAAATCTGAAGTAAATGAACGGAGTGGGTGTTGTGGGAAATCGCTAACTTCTCCCAAACTATCAATTTAAATCTATGTATGCATAAAATGGGGTGAAACAAGGTTTCTGGCCTCTGCAATTCTGCTTCATTTTCCCATCTATAAAATCCAATTACATGTAGTTTTAAGTCTTAATAAGTTATGATACATACACATACAGGACCTGCCAGGCTCAGAAGAATCCCAATTGATTTTAAATCTGACATGGAGGAGCTGAGCTTGAGAGAGTGTCAGGGTTTGAGAGGATACTAGTCGTTAAGTCCCACATTCTCCTGATCCCTACAATCTCAAATGTGTGATCCCTCAGTTTGACACACTATTTTCTCAAATCCGTGCACAAACAAAGAGCAGGTACTGCCTAAAAAAAAAAAAAAAAATCATGTTGTAAACATAATGCACGTTTCAAACCCATTAGCTTTTTACATTAGCAGGCCCCAAAACCCATAGAAAGAGGTATTTTCATGTTTAACTGCAGTGACAGATATCACAGACTGTAAAGTTAACTTCTTTTTTTTTAACACTGCTCTGTTTGCTGTCATCGTGTCACAAAAGGTCTTGGTCACAGATCCAGAGGCAGTAAACAGCCCCATCAGTGTCAGCTATGATCAAGAATCACATGTTGTTCTTCTCACAGAGGCCCTAATGGAGCTGAGGACTGTGGAGACAGGGCCATTACACACACACACACTGGGAGTCACGCTCCTGTGATTATACGCCTTTAAGTCAAACTGTCATTTCTAGCGTGCAAGTGTGTGTGGTGCCAAGATGACAAGTGACCCCTTCACTTGTTGAGGGTCAGAAGCAAAGCAGAGCTCCATATTCAGTTTCCTCAGTTTCCGAGGCAACATTGTGCAGAAAGGTGCGTTTGCTTCACATGCACATACACACGGCATTTTTAGGGAATAGCAGACATCAGATGTGTAAGACACAAAGCCGACTTTGATACAAACAGCTCTGACCTCGCTCATGGCTGTTATTACACTTTCGTTTTGTATAGCCTGGTAACTTGACCTTGAGAATTAAAAACACTGAAACCTGACGGGGGTGGAAACAGACTGTAGGAATGCTAGGATTTTAAGGTAAAATTGTGAGATTGTGTTTGTTAGTCTGAGTCAGGAATGAAAGTTTCACACCAGGCCAGACCCGCAGCACTAGCAACATCTGGGTTTGAAAATAATAAATATCTCGGTATTGTGGCCGTGCCAGCCGGTGGTCAGGTTCTCAGTAGGCATCCCCTGTCCCCTGGCCACTGGGGGCAGCTGTGAGCAAACTGCTGCTTGGCACACCAGAACGAGGAGAAGAAGAAGCCAAACTCCACTAGGACAAGCCACATAAAAGGTGAGAATTGTGCTTTCCTGGAGGTGTTTTTCCAAACAGCGTAGACTACCTAGACTTTAAGGGTGGCTACTCAGTGGTTGGTTTTGCATTTGCGTATCCAGTTTCTTTGCCCATCTTTGCTAAATTGCAGCACACAGTTGTGTCCCGACTGTTTCTGCGTATAGAGGACTATCTCAGCTAGTATTGCCTTCAGCATTTCCTATGTTGATCCTTGTGCTACCAGGGACCAACTCTCAGTTCTGAGCCCACTGTAGTTTCTACATCATTTTATGGAACATGCATTGGTTTTGCATGCCCTGTAGGCAGTCACACAAGGCCACAGCAATAAAACTTCAGAACAGATTTCATTTCTAAACCTTACACAAGTTTATTTTCACCATGCCTGGAAGAATTCTGAAGAAGTGGAAATATTCAGGATTGTCACTGATTTGTACTGGAACTGAAGGACCCGAGGTTTGGCCCTTCAGGTGCGACATCCCACAATAATAAATGGTATTATTAATGAAAAGGTCCTGGGTGATTATAGAGCTGTTACGCTACATCTGCAGGAGTCATCACAGTAATTGGACGACGGTGTAATCACAGCTAATCATGTTGTCTGTGTAATTATAGTTAACTACATCTTCATTAAGTGTATGTGTGTTATTAAAGATGAGGGATGTGAATGTGCATTGCAGGCTAATTACAGTGAAGGTTACAGGGGCTGCAGAAAGTTCTACCACAAGATCAGTGTTGCCCGGTGAGGTCATCGGGTGACAGCGAGCTCGCCTAATTGGCTCTGTTTGGTGATTCAGGCAAACAGAGGGTCTACAGAAAAAAAGAAAACCCTCCGCCAGCAGAGGAAGGATGTTAAAGGGCAGCCTCATTACTGCACATACCCCCCACTGGTCACCAGGAATCCAGTGACGAACACCTCTGAGTCCTGACTGCTGCTCACTGTGACACCACAGCAAAGAAAAGACACAATACAACAGGTGACAGTGAAGCTTCTCATATAAACTTTCTGCTCATCAGCAGCAAAGTGGAGGAGAAACATCAAGACTAGTGGAGTCATCTCTCTGCAGCCAGAGTCGATCATGTAAATAAACTTTTTATTTCCAAGCTGTAAAAGTGTGTGATGTAATTGATTTTTACAGTTCAGAAACAATACGCATGCGATGCTTTTTCTTTCATCGTACAACACATTTGATTAGCAACACAAATCCATTTTATTGCCTCTGTGTAACTTAACGGCTGCACAACAGTGTTTGAAACAGAACACTGGTATAACTCACGTCACGGTGGAGCCCTGTTGTTAAATGCTAAAACCCTGCAGGAGAACATGAGGAACACAAAGAGGAGACAGAAGTAAATCATTGTTGAGCATCGCACAAAGTGTTTTCATAACAAAGAACAGTGTGACGACAGCACGCAGCAACATTTCCACAGTTAACCTCATTGCTGATGGAATATGTTGAACATTAAAAGTTCTAACTTAGCACGGTATCATGTTAACACACCCGGAAGCATGATCATGTGAACGTGACTGTCGAGGGGCCTAAAGCATAGATAAACGTGACGGGGTGCATCTGAATGGAGGAAGTGGCAAAGCCGCAGCTCCCCTCTCTCACTGCCACCACTGAAGTGCCCTTGAGCCAGGCCTGTCTCATTTTCCTGCACCAATATCGATAGCTGGTCTACTTTAGCTGCACTGGCTTACATCTCAGGAACATGACATTCACTTATAAATGTATATAAATGTCTATTAACGGTTGATTGTTAATTTTTAAAGCTCCATTTAATTTGTTACTTTGTCTTAACCATCCACATACATACAATAAACACAGTGTCACTGCTTCCCTCCACTATGCAAAAAATAAGGCCAAAATATCACGAATACGGTGGCGGCCATCTTGCTTTTTTGCAACCAGATTCTGCACGGAAGTGACCAGCTATTTTTCATATCATGAAATAAGTGATATAAAATAAAATAAAAACACTTGTTCATACATCAGCATGATAATATCTACCAATAACCACAGAAGTGACCCTTGGAAAAAACTGATCTGATTGACTCGTGTCCCATTCACCAACATGGAGGAGGAGGGATTTATGAACTATCCTGCAGCCAGCCACTATGGGGTGATCACGTTTTGATGGCTACACAGCAAAACACTTTGTACACAGAGCAGGAGAAGAAAACAGAACAATATTCTCTCCTCTGTCCACTCACCCCGACTGGTCAAGACAGAAGGCCGCCCACCACCACCAGGGTCTGTCAGAGGTTTCCTCTGCAACACTGTGAGGTCTAGACCTGACTATATAAAATGCCCTGAATTGACTGTTGTCATTAACTGAAGCTCGACAAATAAAACTGAACCGAAGTGAATTAGAAAAACTAAATATCTTTCTGGCCATCCTGTAATTAGTTGCAATGCGTTTTGATGTGGCCCATCTCAGGGGATCGGTGGGATTCATCCTCTGGAAACCATGAACGTGTCTACGAAATGATCCCAGATCAATACAAACACAGTAACTGAAAGTAGGAATCAAAACCTTGCTCAGGCTTGTTTACTTATTCTTTCAACAAATATTTACTGGTTTGAATTAGGAACCTTTTCGAACTGTGGACGTGTTCACCAACCTTTTCCATGCACAGATAACTTTTTAGGTCCAAACAGCCGAGACACACCCGGCAGAAACAGAAAGAAACTCCCCGAGAGGTTTTGCCTCCTCCTGTCAAGTCTCCCTGCTTCTGTTACTTCACTTGGATATTTGATATGTGCTGTGCATTTTCACACTACTAGGCTGTTTTCACTTGTATCTGCTCGCAGGAGAAGATTTTGTCACACAACCCATTCAATAGTGGTCCAGTTTGAAACCAGCACATGTGTGAAGTGACCAGTATCTAAACATGTTTACTCTCCAACACCACTAGGCCGAGCAGAGGGCAGCACTCACTGTGGTCTGGAGGCTTCAGCTTGGTCTGTCTGCAGCTTCTCTCCTCCCTCCACCTCCATGGTGCAGTACACAATCCGGTTTGGAGCTACAGACTTCAGTCCCTGAACCTCCACGATGATGATCTGAAACCAGCAGCAGAGGGATGAACAGAATCCGATACTCTGCTCTGTCTGGAGAGAAAATTATGCTTCCATCGACTGTGATTTCAAAACAAGGACGTTGAGCCGCTTTACGCCTGCAGGTCCGTCTGTCTCTGAGTCTTTATCCACATCGAACTAAACAATCAAACCTGTTTCTCTGTAGAAACGATCAAACGCTCCACTGCTGACTACAGGACCTCCTCCAGCTGTTTTTGGGAATACAGCTACATCATTCACTGCTGATTTAAATGCAGCAAAATTTAACATACTGCTTTTTATTTTTGCAATAAAATGCAGGAATTTACGAGTTAGAGAAAATTGTGTTTAAGAAATTTACAAAAACATAACATACATAATGCTGCCGCTGCCCTTTCAGGGTATTGCACACAACATGTTTTGTATTTGCTAGTATGTGTACAGTATTTGCCTTTTTAATGTGATGCCATGTGAGGATGTCCACCTGTCCACAGTGTGCGTGACCTGCACAGGAGAAGCTACTTAAAATACTTTGTATATACAAAGTGTGTGTCCTCATCTGCCTAAAACCAAAACTGAAACAAGACACACACACACACACACACACACACACACACACACACAGATGTAAGTAAGAACTCTGACACAGTGCGAGCCCCTTACCCTGACCTACAGCTGATTCTAACCTGACCCCTGAAACCAAGCTGGAATCCTCAGACAGCTCTGTGAAGGGGCGAGGACTGGTCAACATGTCCTCAACAACAGTTTTCAATGTGTCCACACACCGTAAATCATAAACACACAGACCTCCAAGGTGAAGGACAGCACGACGTCCGACTTGGACAGAATGTCTCCCTCGTCTCCCATGTCCAGGAAAGAGTTGTTCATGGAGGAGCGTTTGAGCTTCTGCTTGAAGTCCGGACCTCCCCTGGACACTGGCAGACTCTCCAGGTTTGCCATCAGCAGGTTGACTGACGAACGCAGCTCCTCCACATACAGAGCATCCATGTCAGGAGAGATGAACTTTGGGCATCTCTTCTCCTGCGGGACACAGGTTCAGGTTTCCTTCACATCAACACACACTTCTTTAAACAAGCTAAAGGAGGATGTTGGCCATAAAACTAAAAAAGCAAATTCAGCTATAATAAGATAATCTTGTAAGTTTAACTCAAATTAGTTGACCATGTGACCATGTCATGTGACTACAAACAGTAAAATCATCACTTGTAGATGTGCTTACAACTGTATGACCCAACAATCAGGACACAGCCAGGTGAAAGGACAAACTATCATACAGGAGCGACAGGGCTTTGTTAGCGCCGTGTCAAATCTCCCACTGCTAAATGCTCCACTGTGTTCAACAGCCGGTCTCAAGTGTCTGCTGTTTGCTGCTGAGTAAGTCATAACAGTGGGTCTATCAGAACTCGTCTGATGAAAAGTAAATGAGGCTAAAGTTGCCCAGAGCTCCGAGTTGGTAATAATCCCCTATGGTTTGTCACCAGAGGAGACGTTTCCCATTACACAAAGTCACTGCTGACATGAAAACGTTAAATGCAGCTTTACAAACAGTTGTTTTATCAGTTTTAGATCATTGTGACATGATTTGTTTGGATTTTATAAACTGCTTCTACTGACACTTTGTTAGTATGAAAGAGTGAAAGTAATGAGCAGGACAACTTCATGTTTAAGCATCAGGCAGTAAAACAGTAAATCCTGACTTCTCAGGTTGGACAGTTCAGTCTGCAGGGACACGACCAGTAAGAAAGGAAAGCCTACATCAGGAGGAAACACAAGTCAAATAAATAAAATAAAAGTTGTGTGTGTTTCTCACCCTCACAATCTTGTCAGCCAGTTGCAACCTGCCATCCAGCTCCCTGCGGATCTGAGCTGCCTGCTCGTCCACATTATCCAGCTGGGAAGGAGAAGATTAAAAACAGGAAACGATCAATAAACCAATCAAGAGCTGAAATAGAGGCACATGAAAGGTCTGTTCAGGTGTGGATGGATAAACCAATCAGCAGCTGAAGTGTAATCAGCCAATGAGGATTAGTGGCTGTTAGTGTTTATAATTATTTTGCATATCGATTTAAATACTTTCATCACCCCCAGCTTCCATCCCTTGACCGACTGCTGGGCTTAAACCTGGCTCACAAAGCACAGACGCAACAATGACACTGTTGAGTTGTCAGAGTTCACAGGCTGATGAAACAGAAACATTACTACCAGGCTGTCAACCTGTAGGAGAAGGACATAAAGACGAGGGAAGAAACTTTCTCAGTTGTGAAAAAGTTGAAGTTTGTGTTGTTTGAAGGCTTCACACTGGAGTGGAAACCCGCCCCCAAGTCATCTGTTAAACCCGATGTCAGCGAGAGCCAGAGAGGAGATGAAATCAAAAAAGAGCAAGATCAGCTTACTGGGCAGAAAAATCAAGCCTCGTCTCAGATCTGAAATGAGCAGAAGTGTCTAAAGTGACAATCGCAGATAGAACCGCTTTGATGGAAAACGCCTGAAGTGGAACTTTCACAGCTGATAACAGAGAGAGAAGAGAAGCTGTTTAATTTGAGCTGGTTTCAAAACGAATCCCAGAGAATCAGCTAAAAAAAAAAAATCAGCCTCCAGCGTCTCATTTACACGGATCCAAGCTTCCTTCAGTCACACCGAGGAGCGACCCTGCTCCACAGCTGAAGAGACAAACAGTGAGAAGCAAAAGTCAAAATCAAACAAGAGCGGCATCCCCAGATGGACACATCGGTCTCAGAGCCTCATCTTCTGCAACAGGGACCCCGGTTTCTCTCAGCTAGTTTCATTAATAAAAGCTTGTTTTTCTACGAGATCTTTTTTCATTGAAGACAAAGTCAAGGTTGAGTTTATTCCTGGTTGTGTGTCTGGTTTATAACACTCAAATCTAATTAACTTTAGTGAGATAACAGAGCCTCCCCCCCAGCCGACCCAGGGCCTTTCTATGTAGAGTCTGCATGTTCTCCCTGTGTGGGTTCTCTCCAGGTGCTCCGGCCTCCTCCCACAGTCCAAAGACATGCAGCTTAGGCTGACTGGTGACTCTAAATAGCCCGCAGGAGTGAGTGTGGTTGTTTGTCTACATGTCAGCTCTGTGACACACTGGGTGCCCCACTGGCAAACTGTCCAGGGTGGCCCCTGCCTCTCACCCAGTGTCGGCTGGGATTGGCTCCAGCACCCTGGAACCCTGTTCAGGATAAGAGGTATAGATAATGGATGGATGTTATGATGGAGCTCACAGTCTGTCCATGCTAATGAAACTCCATGTACAGTAGGTTTCATCCAGCGGAGTTTCACAAAAAGGCAACACCACAAATTAAACATCCTGCATGCCAGAGTCAAACCTTTTTATGGGTTTACTGTACATGTTTAAGACATATCACTGCTTAAGTCAAATACCTGCATTGCACTTCTGCTACAACACAAAACAATCAGAGTTAGTCTGTGCTGCCATGGCGCCCCCAGTAGCCATGAGCCCCAGTCATCCTAATTCTTTGCAACACAGGCCCTTAAAAATCTGACATTTTTAAGATGTAACATTTAATTTTAAAGAAAGCATTCTCAAGAAAATAAATTGGTTTCCTACCTGATTGTTAGATAAAACCACTGAAATGGAAGCCATGTTGGCTGTTACTAAATTATGCAAATCAGTAAAATAATAACAGTAAAAAAAGCTATTTTTTAAAAGTAAAAATGCCATTTCAGGATACAATTCTAAAAATGGAAGACGCCTACAAACCCATATAAAATATGATGTGCTGGGAAATAAATTGCACCTTTTTTATCAACTAAGTTAATATTTATGTTTAAGCAACCCACACACTTGATTTATTGCTGATGAATGACTTGGAACAATGAATGATTTGCTAACTGATCTCATGTCAGTGTCATAATGTGATGAGCTCAACCAAGGAATTAAACTGTGTGCAAGCCATTTGACACTATAATATAGTATTGTTGCCCTTTTATTAACTGGCCTGATATTCTTCTGTGTTCCGGTGCAGTCTTTGTAGTGTGCCACCCCAAGGTTTTCACTGGCCCCATCTGCCCACCCCTCTAAATACAGGTGCTGGTCATATAATTAGAATATCATCAAAAAGTTGATTTATTTCACCAATTCCATTCAAAAAGTGAAACTTGTATATTATATTCATTCATTCATTACACACAGACTGATATATTTCAAATGTTTATTTCTTTTAATTGTGATGATTATAACTGACAACCAATGAAAACCCCAAATTCGATATCTCAGAAAATTAGAATATTACTGAATACCAATACAAAGAAAGGATTTTTAAAAATCTTGGCCAACTGAAAAGTATGAGCATGTACAGCACTCAATACTTAGTTGGGGCCCCTTTTGCCTGAATTACTGCAGCAATGCGGCGTGGCATGGAGTCGATCAGTCTGTGGCACTGCTCAGGTGTTATGAGAGCCCAGGTTGCTCTGATAGTGGCCTTCAGCTCTTCTGCATTTTTATAGTGCATTTAGTAAATGCACAAGGATATAAAATGAAAGATGACACCCTCTAAATCTGAAACAAATAAAGTTCTACGACCGTCAGCTACGGTCAGACCGAGGCTGTCGGAAGCTCTGACCCACGTGTTCTTGCACATTTGGCAGACAACAGCATCTGTTGGAAGAGGACATCAGAGACAAGTACTGACACACCCACAGCTTAATTGCATGTGCTAAAATTAAGCACGCGCACAGATCGGAGCACATTCAGGCTTTGTTGCCATGACTTCCATTATGTGGTTTTTGTTTGCAGGCTTTCTGCCACACAGAGCATTTCTATGACAACCAGCTCTCATATGAAGTTGTTCATCAAAGTCTCTGCAACATGTCAACATGTCAGAGGCTGAATCCACACATCAGACTGTTCGACACCGACATACAGACACATGAAGCGATGTGTCAACTAAGGCCTATGACACACTCAGAACAGCGAAGAGTTTGCACTCAGGTGGTCGGACTGATTAACTCTGATGTAATAATTGTTTATAAAATCAAAGGAAAGACTCAGGTGAAGACATCTGCATGAGCACACACAGTTTTCGTGTATAGCATTTATTCTGGGCAAGAGCTAGTTCGCCGGTCTGTCATCAGTGACGTGCGGTCAGGGGAGGCAGAGCCTCCCTTGTCAATCTTGAAAAGAAAAAAAAAAAGTTAACCATAAAATATAATAAATGTTAATATTTGTCGGCTGGTGTGTGTTGTAGGCCCTTTTGCTGTTCGAATCCGATGTTGAAGGATTTTTTTTTTCCATAAAGAATAGCAGAATTCCCGTATGTCCCGTTCAAATACATGGAGGAGATGCGCGATGATGCAGCACTTTGCTGTGTCTCTCGGTGGATCGTGTAATCCTCACAAACTGTATGCGATGCCAATAGTGTGTCGCTGTCCTTCTATATATCGCAAATAAAATGCTTTCAAACACTCTGATTATATGCTCTGCCTTGCCATAATCTGGA